TAGTTTGCAGAATGATGGTAGCCCTAGGGAGAAAAGTAAAGCAAGGAAGGAGGATAAGAACCTACTGGGACTCTAGGAAAAACATCACTTGGAAATAATATCTGAGTAATGTTCTGAAAGAGGAGCACAGTGGGAGAGGAAGCGGAAGTTCAAGGCCTTCCGGTATAGGCACAAGCACACCCGGGAGATAGAAGACAAGGACACCAGAGGAGCTGGCATGCAGGGGATGAAGTACCTTTAAGATCATACACTCAAGCACAAAGGCACAAAAATTTTATGCTAAAGATCAACACACAAGCAACTAGAATAATAATATGATTTACAAATTACTAACAAAACTTCTGACCTAAGAGGACACTGGAGGCATCTCCTTTCCCAGGGATTTTTGGACTGTCAGTGAGAAATACAGTGCAAATAACTCAGGGAAGGAATATTTACAAAGAGCTATAAATATACTGATAACAGTGGCAGACACTTTGGGCACAGGAACTCATTGTACATTAATTCATTGCACACCAACCCTACAATGTCAGGTATTTTTAGCTCCGATTTTCAGATGAAGAAATTAAAACTAAAAGTGGTTGGCAATGCTCCCAAGATCACATAGCCAGTAAATAGGAGAATTTCAGTTTGAAACAGGTTAGTGTGATTTCACATTTGAGATAGCTGCTTTTATGTGTCAACATTATTGGGCTAAGGGACATTCATGGATAACTGGTAAAACCTTATTTCAGGGTGCATGTGTTTGAAGGTGTTTTTAGAAGAAGTTAGTTTAATCAATAGTAACCACAACTGTGGTTAGTCAGTATCCAATCTGCTGAGGCACATAGGTAACAAAAATGTAGGGAACTTGCTATCTCTCTTTGAGCTGAGACATACACCTTTTCTTGCTCTTAAATATCATAGCTCTCTGGCCTTTGGCCTTGGATTATATTTATTATACCCCAAGTTTCTTGGACCTTCAGCTAGCACAGGGCAGACCAGGGACCTCTTGGCCTCCACAACCACATAGTCACTTTTGACATTTCTCTGCACATATACCTCTGTGTATCTCGTTTGTTCTGTTTCTCTGAATAACTTGAATACATCATTCTTCTTGAAGATTTCCACAGCTTCTCATAATAGGATCAACTCTCTATCCAGGTGAATTTCCTGCCCTTTAACTACAAATAGTTTTATTTTGATCTTTCAGGGAAGCGGAGTGCAAGAGAGATGTAATCTACTGGCAGAAGACTTCCATGGACTTAGAGAAGGAATTCAAGACATTGTAATTTAGCTTTTCTTCTTATGACCTTCTCCATTAAAAACTTCTTTCTTATCTTTAGATTTCCCTCTATTTTCCTGGATTCCCCATTTCTCCTTCCCACAAGTTAAAATAGTGAATAAACAATATTTAAAATACAGAATATGATAGAAAAAGTTTAAGAATCAAACTATTTTAATATACATCAGTTTTATTCTTATAAAATTGAAATTAGGCTATATTTTCTGTAAAATAGTTTGATGTATAGAACAGTATAAATAACTAGAAAAGGCATCAACTTCTTATTATCCAGAAAATATTACTTATATATATTCTCTCGATCTTATTCATTTTGGGGGCGATTGAACCCAAGGCTTCACATATTAGCATGAACTCCATTACTGAGTTACATCCTATCCCTTTTCAGTATTTAAAAAATTATTTATTTTTATTTTATGCATCTGAGTGTCTTCCCTACATGTAAGTGCACCTGTGCATGCAATGCCTGTGGAGACCAGAAGTGGGCGTCAGATCCCTGGAACTGGAGTTATAGATGGTTGTTAGCCACCATGTAGGGTTGGGAACTGAACCTGTGTCCTCTGCAAGAGCAGTCAGTGCTCTTAACCACTGAGCATCTCTCCAGCCCCACTCCCTTCAGTATCTAAAATTTTTTATTTTATTTTATGTGTTCGAGTGCTTTTCCTGCATGTAAGTGCACCTGTGCATGCAGTGCCTGTAGAGGCCAGAAGAGGGCATCAGATCCATTGGAACTGGAGTTACACACGGTGGTCAACCACCATATGGGTACTGGCAATCAAACCCTGGTCCTCTGGAGGAACAGCCAGTGTTGTTCACCACTGAGCCATCTCTTCAACTTCCCCACCTTCAGTATTTTTAATATGGATTTAAAAAAATCTTATCTTTTTATTTTATTTACTTTTATTTTATGAGTTTTTGTTTGCATATAGTAGCTGCAGAAACCAGAGGAAGGTGTTAGATCCCCTGGAAACGGAGTTAAGGACAGGTGTTAGCTTCCATGTGGGTGTTGGGAACCAAACCCCCATCCTCTGCAAGAGCAGTCAGTGCTCTTAACTGCTGAGCCATCTCTCCAGCCCCTTAATATGGATTTTTAAACTTAGTAAAGACTATGTTATAAGCAGTGGTTTCAGTTATTTCAAAAGTAGAGAAAAGTAAGAGGATAATAAAACTAAATCCCTGCATGGAGGAAAGCAAATCTGCCAGTGTTTGAAATGCCATCTGCTTCTTGCTGAGCAAAGTGTGGCTTCAGTTCTTTATCTGTATAATGGGGATACTAAGAACATCTACTCCACAGGGTTATTTTGCAGAGTAAATAAAGCTGTACTTGTAAAACTTTTAGAATAGTGCTTGTATTTATGTATCATGTCTAATAAAGGTTAGGTATTATACTAATTGCTACCCAATACTCACAACATTACTTTTTTCATATTTGCCTTAGATATTTTCTTCCTCCTTCTCTATCTCCCTTTTGATCTTTCCTTTCAAAAATAAAATGCTGGAACTAGGGAGATGGCTCAGTAAAGAACACGTGCTACTCTTGCAGAGGACCTGAGTTTGGTTTGAAGTACTCACGTCAGGTGGCTCACAACCATAATGAACTTCAGCTGAGGTGACCCAACACCCCCCTCTGGTCTCTGGGCACTGACACACGTGGCACACAAATACACACAGCGCGTGTGTGCGCACACACACACACACAAATAAATCTTAAAACTATCCCAAAACAAAACAAAAAAATCAATAAATTAAAATGTTAAATTTAAAATGTTCATTGCTGCGGAGATGGCTGTGGGTAAACTGCTTGCATAGGGCATAAGTACAGATTCCCTAGAATCCATGTAAAAGTCAGGTCTGTTGGCATATTCTGTAATACCAATTCTAGGGGATGGAGTAGAAATAAACAAGAAACAGACAAATCCTGAGGCTTGCTGCTAGTCTAGTCTAACTGAAACCATGAGATCCAGGTTCAGTGAGAGACCTTGTCTCAAAAAATTAGGTGGAGAACAGAAGGACATTCCTGCAGTTGACCTCTAACCAGCACACCTGCGCGCGCGCGCACACACACACACACACACACACACACACACACACAGTGCATGTGCACAGCCCCCCATACACACTCGAGTACATGTACACACATATACACATATGCACCCCTCTGCACAAAATTAAAAGTTCAGTTGAGGCCCCTTTCTAAACTCATTCTTCTAGGCAATCATTACACTGAAACTTGCCCATGTTTTAATACTTTTACTATATTGCATGTCCATTGTGTATAAATTTTGTGTTATGATTTTTCCCACTGAATGACAAACATTTCCATGTTTCTTTTCCTTTTGTCATGTACTTTGTTGTTGTTGTTGTTCTTTTTGAGACAGGGTCTCCCTGTAGTCTCAGCTGTCCTGGAACTATGTAGTCCAGGCTGGCCTCAAACTCACAGAGATCTGCCTGTCTCTGCCTCCTGAGTGCTGGCATCAAAGGCATGCACCACCATGCCTGCCTTTGTCATGTATTTTTCATAAAACAATTCTTTTTAGCTGGGTAATATACCACTGATATGTTAAATTAGATTTTGCCAAGGGTGACTCCATCTATAGCAAACTGTGCCCTAAGTTAGCTCTAAGTTAGTATGTAGGAAAAGCTGAAAACTAATTTAAGAGCACATTCTTTTAACAAGTTACTAGCTGAGACTTGGCAGATCATAGTACTCTTTCCAGCCATGCAGAGCTGCGACCAATTAGCTAGCTCTATATGTTATTCCTTTTTAGCCTCCAAATACTGTGATGCTGCTGTGTGGAACTCTCTGAACCTTCATTGGTTCAGAGTACTATTTGACTCATGAATGTTTTCTTTCCTTAAGTAAATTCTGCTAAAATTGATTTGTCTAGTTTCTTTCACACACATTACTTAACCTCTTCCTTAGTATTAGGTATTTGGGTTTCATTACAATTTTAACAAATAATTCTGGTGATATTTTGGTCTTTACATTTTGTTTGTGTGATTCTTTTTTTTCAGGTAGAATTGGTTGCCATCAAAGAACACAAACACTTTAAAATGTAATAATTATAATACTATTATCTGGTATTCATGGAAAAACTGAAAATAAAGTCTGTAAAATTAAAAGAAACATCCATCTACCTACTAGTGGAAGTCAGTCACTGCTAACAGCTTTATTTTATTCTAATCATGTTTCTTCCATAAAACACACTCAACTTCCCTTTTTCCCAGCTACTTCCACATGCCTGGAAATAAACTGTCTGTTAAGGTAAGTCTCCATCTTTTAACCATTAATATTGTATCATTGCATTTCCTCAATTCACTTAATAGTCTCTGCAAAACATAAATTTAATATCTGTATAGTTTTTCCACATGAAGCATAAATAAATTTATTTAACCATTTCCTATATAGGGACACTTTGGCTATTTCGTTTAAATAACAGTCAGTGCAGAAACTTGGTTCTCTTTACGAACTAGTTCCTTAAATGACTAGAGGTTCATCTCACTCTTTTTATTTATTTATTTTTTCCGTCTTTTTGAGACAGGGTCTCCCTGTAGCCCCAGCTGTCCTGGAACTCACTATGTAGACCAGGCTGGCCTTGAACTCACAGAGATCCGCCTGCCTCTGCCTCCCAAGTGCTGGGACTACAGGCGTGCGCCACCACGCCTGGCTTTGAGGTAAAAGTTTTTACTAGAAGTAAAGAAAGTTAAGGCATAAACATATTTTTATAACTTTTATTAAATTTATTCTATGGCAGCTTCATCTATATACGTAATGCATTCTGCTTACTCCCAACTTTTATCTTTCTCCCACGTGTCAACTCCCTCTCCTCCCTACATGTCCCTTTCCCGTATTTATGCTGTTCTGTTTTGTGATCTACTGAGTAGAACCAGGGTCATCTGTATCACCCTGGGTTTGTAACTATCCACTGGGGATGGTGGGCTCCTAGTGGGTACAGAACTGAAGACAATGACTGCCCTCTTCCCCTCCCCCAGAATCCACCAGTAGTCAATAATTCATCAAGGAGTTTTAAGGCCCTGTGAGCCCCTCCTGGATCCATGATCCACTGTTGACAGACCCTGTCTTGTGCAGGCAGCCATGGCTGCGGTAAGATCATGACTGCAATAGTTGTGCATGCCAGGAAGATGGAATGCTGCAGCCCTTCTGTCCATCTTCTGGCTCTTGCATTTCTTCTTTCCTTCTTCTGCCATGTTTCCTGAAGGCATAAACATATGTGAATATGTTGTCAAGTTGCTTTCCAGAATACCTGTTCTCCACAGTGTATATTATACAAAACATATTTTCCAGAATTATTCTCTTTGCTAAATTCAAATAGAAACACATTTCATTAATGCTTCATTCTGACTGCATAAATTTATTTTTTAAACATTTGCTACTTCATTTATTTATATTTCCTAACATTTCATGCTTAGAGAATCTTAAAAATTGGGATTATTTATATCACAATTTGGCTTAACTGCAAAAAGTAAACAAACCCATATGGATAGCATGGCATTAGCTGTGGCTTTTATGGATTGTTAATAAAGTTCACCTCAACTTTTAGATATTCCCTGCACAAAAGAAAACTGACTCTCATTTAATAACTCTAAGCTATTTAAACCCTTATAGATAAATCTCCCCCATAGGATTCCATTAGGAATTTTCTGTTAAGGATCATATCTTAAGAAACTAGACTTTGAAAGAGTAAAGTTATTGACTAGAAACTTGCAAACTATTTGACTAATTTGCTACTAGAGTCTAAAATAATTGGCACAAAGGAATTCCAAGACTTCTCTTGAAGTTTCTTTTTCCTGTTATCTGTCTGCTGAATTGTTTACCTATGGGCAAGATATTTTCTACAGGTGAAACTATTATGAGGAAATTATGTATTGATAGTCACAAATTGTCCTACTTAGGAAAATCTATAATTGTCATTAAATCCAGTTATATTGACTAAGATGCGCTTAATTTTATAAAGAAAGAAAATGTTTTTAATTCATTAGCCTTGTTGTTGGTTGTTGACAATGATAACAATATAATTTAATCATATAAACCCAGACGGATTAAGGAATAGAAAATATAAAAAGAAACAACAGCAAAGAACATATACAAACATCTGCATGATTTTGCAGAGGTACAGGTACTTCCAAACTGTAAGAGGAAGTAATAATGAAAGGAAGTGTTTAGATACCTGAGTACATAAAAATGAAAGTCTTTTGAAAATAAAGGTTACTGGAAAGAAAAATGAAAAGAAAGACTACAAACTGAGAAAGATGTTTTTGAAATATATGGTAAATATATATAACACTCATGAAATTACATTCAAATCAATAAAAGGATGAAACTTTATTATGGCCAAAAGGTACCAGTGCAAAGTTCATATACACTAACATTAGGAGATGCATGCAAGGAGCCAGTAAACATATGAGTAATTATTCATCAACTATGAAAATGTTTTTAAAAATAAATAGATTTAAAAATTTTTCTCTTTTAACAACATGGTAGCTATCTGAAGAATTACAACCTGGAATGATGTGAAATACTCATAAACTGCTGAAAACAGTTATTTTAATATTTTGGAGAGAATTTGTATACTGTTCATCCAAAAATTTCATGTTCGGCCTGGTAGCTGTTGTTCAAATGAGAAATGTCCCCCAGAGCCTCATGTATTTGGACACTTGATTCCCAGTTAGTAGGGCTGTTTGGGAAGCTTTTGGAACACTTAAGTGGTAGAACCTTGCTAGAGGAGTATGTCACTGGGGCAAAGATCACTCCAATTCCAGTTCTCTATCTGCTTCCTGAGTGTGGATGAAAATGTGATCAGCCAGCTTCCTGCTTCTGCCAGCTTTCCCTGACTGCTGGCATGCCTTCTCCACCAAGATGGATGCCATCCCCCTGGCACCATAAGCCAAAATCAACCTAGTCTTCCTAAGTTGCCTTTTGTAAGGTTATTTATCACAGCAACAGAAAGTAACTAATGCAGTGACACATACTTGTAATTGGTGTACTTGGGAGACTGATGATTGTGAGTTCTTGGCCAGCCTGGGCAACACAGTCAGACCTATGTTAAAAACCAAAACCAAAGTTTAGGGAGATGACCCAGCAGTCAATCGACTTGCTGCTCAAGCAGCAACAGTGAGGGCATGGGGGGGGGGTTCTAAAACCCAAAGCCCTTGTAAATAATTCCTGTGCTCAGAAGGTAGAGACAGGGGATCCCTTCCCCAGAGGAGCAAGCTGGGTAGCTGGAATAGTGGTGTCAGCAAGCTCTGGGCTCAATTCAGAGACCCTCCCTCAACAATAAAGGTGGAATGCAACAGAGGAAGACTCCTGACATCAAACCTGGGCCTCTACATGCACACATGTACAGCTGCACAAACGTGTCTACATGTGTAAACACATACCACACACATACACATGAAAAACATCCAAACCCTAACCTAAACCCCAAATCAGAACAAATCCCAAACCCCCAAATGTTCAAAATATCCAGACTAGGAGATTCCATAGCTTCAATTCTAGAAAGTATCAGAAAGTTGTGGAAAGCGTGATAGAGAAATTTAAAAACATGCACATAGTATACATGTATCAAGGGCATTCATTCTAGAATATTTATAACATGGAATATTGGAGAAACAATCTAATACCAATAGTAAATTATGTATACCAAACGTAGTAGAAAATATTACACAGCTATGAAAACTTTGTTGGTAAAGATTTTAGTGACTTGAGAAAACTCTGCTTTTAAGGAAAAATAAAACTACATGACCAATTAATCTTTCAGTTTTGCAGAGCACACACACAAAAGACCAGGCAGGAAATCCCTTGATCTACTGACACCATGGATATTAAGGGTGTCTTCTCTGGGTGATGGGGTCATTGGTGGGTTTTATATTTTTCTGGCATTTTTTATAATTTTCTAAAATGTTTACAAAAAGCATACATTATCAGAATCCAAATATACGTGCATATTGCATACACACATGCATATGTGAGAGGGAGGGAGGATGAAATATTTCTTATTTTTTTTCAGGTAACATCAGAGACACTGCTGTTGACAGATTCAGGTCTATTTATATTTAGTGTGGATTCCTCAAGTACCAATTGTCGGAATTTTGGGTGCTCCTTTGAACGTCAAGTCAAGAAGTAGCTCTTGAGATCTCTGCTACCATACAGTCATGTCTTCCTTCCTGTTCACCACCTGGTGGGCAACACACAAAATAGAACATCATTCCATTTTTTGGTACAGAAGAGAAACTTTTCCAGAAGCAAAAAGGTTTACTTGCCCACACATCTGTATGAAATATTACCAGATACCAGCAGCATTTACAGTTTACATTACTTGCCCAAGGTTACACATCTGTGTGAAATACTACTAACACCAGAAGTATTTACAGTTGGTCACATCAACACGTTTCCCATCTAGTGCATGCCAAGTACTCTTCCAAGAGCTTTGTGTGCCTCAATGTAATTAACCCTCATGACAACCCCAAGCTGTGGGCACTATTATCATTTTCATTAAATAGGTGAGAAAAGGAGTCAAATACAAACCTCAGGGGTCCTTCCTCCCTGCCATTTCAGGCAAACCCTCCTCACCTAGAAATATTCTGAGCCTACTCAGCCCAGATCATTACAGGGGTTGGGGGTGTCAGTCAGTCAGTCTCTTCCCCTCTCTGTTTCTGGGTATGTGTGTGTAGGACACAGGGGAGAGGGGAGGGGGAGGGGAAGGAGGAGGAGGAGGGAGAATTTTAAAGACCCCCCCCCCCCCCCCCCCCCCCCGCTCCTCGGAGGAAAACGTGTCCCGATGACCTGCTTACTCTGGCTTGTTCCGCGCGGGGACACAGTGGTCCAAAGAGGAGACATCCCGGAGTAGCCGCCGCTCTTGCCCTCCGTCTAGTCACGCGGCACCCGCGTGCACAGCTCCTGGCGTGCGGGGCTGCGCCTGAGCCGAGGCCCGCGCCACCTGCTCCCGGCTCCCGCGTCCCCGCCCCGCGTCCCGCCCCCGCGCCGCGCCCACGTCCGGCGGTCCCTCCCTCCCTCCCTCCGGCGTGACGGGAGCGCGGGCGCAGTCTGTCCGCGCGGTGAGCTCGGAGCTGTCAGCGGGCAGAAGCGTAGGGGGCGAGCGAGCGCGGCGAGCGCACTGTCCTCGGTCCTCGCTCCGGAAGCCGGAGCTGCGCCGCCGCCGGGGCCGCTGCCTGGACAGAGCCCGGAGCGCCGCGATGCTACTGCTCGCCCGGCGGCCGGCGCGGGCCAAGGACCCGGGGCGGATTGGCAGGAGTCCCCGCCCGGGGCGCTCGCCGCCCTGGAGCCCCGCCTGGCTTTGCTTTGGGGCGCTCGCCGTCTGCCAGGCAGCCTGGGCTGGGGACTGGCCCTCCTCCGGCCGCCCGCTTCCTCCGTGCCAGGAGGTGAGCAGCACCTGGTCCCTTACCTGGAGTTTGCGGTGCGGGGTGCGGGGTGGGGCGGCAGCGGAGACCCCGGCTCAGAATGGCATGGATCTGTGCTGGCCAGCCCCTTCCCCTAGAGGACAGTGGGTTTCGTCTGTGTATGGGGATGAAGTTGCTCGTCCCTGCTAGCTGGCCAGGAGAGGGTGTGTGTGGCTTTGCTGTCTTCGGCTGATGCTTTTCTGCCTGCGCTGGTGTTTGGGGGGGCTCTGAAGGACTTTGCGGCACCCTCTTTGGAGAGCCAGGTTCTCAGGACCTGGGGGTGAGGGAGAGATTTCAGGAAGCCAAAAAGAGTGGGGAAGCCCTGCCCTGTGGATTTGGAAAACTATCTTATCACAGCTTTTCAGAGACTCAGAAAAGACCCAGGAGGAATCCCCCCTCCCCTGCTTTCTCTGCTCATGGTTCCACAAATGCCTTATCCCTACTCCCCTCCTCTCAGTCTCCAGATAAGGCCCCGAGGATTTGCTATGGCACTGTGTGGTGTCTCCTGACATTCTGGCAAGACATGAGTATGAAGTAGAGAAAAGGAGTATGTACTTAGTGAAGAGGCTGGTTGGCAATGTAGAAAATTAAAAAGGGCAGAGCAAATATTCTCTTTGGGGGAGGAGGTTCTTCATCACCTGTCTGAAACCTTTCAACTATGTACTTTATAGCTTGAGATTATTTATTTACAGCCAAGAAGGATAAATTCTGGCTAATGAGATCCATCCCCCATTCCCCGCTTTTATAAAGGGAAAAGAGACCTAGGTTTGCCAAAAATTTACGGGGGTTTATCACTGGTACTTGTATTGGGTGTTTATCTTTTAATGTTCCAGAAAGTGCATCCTCTTAATGAAAATCAGTGAGGGGAAGGAAGTAACATTTCTGACCTACTTTGAATGATCATGTTGGAGAGGATGTGAGGCGTACATGCTGTTTTAAGGAAGATTGCTAGGAATCAGAGTGATGGGTTCTTTAAATTTATGCAGCAAAAGTAGGTTAGCCATTAGTCCCCTTTGGGAAGAAAGGCCAGATTCTGTTCCTTGTGTATGCTGCTATCACTTCTGAATTTTACCCAGGCTTGATTAGAGAGTATTTTCCTTCCAGACCTCATATATCACCCACAGATTCTCATCTTCCTCTCCTACAGTACAAGTCCCAGGACAGCTTGAAACGAAAGAGAATCAGATCAAAGGCTTGGGTGTGACTATACAGCTGTGTTGTAATTGGGTGAATCAGGCCAAGGGCTCAGCAAACAGCTGGGTTTAATTTCAGAGTGCTTTACTATTAGTTTGATATGTATCTGCCACTTCTTACCTGGGAATAATCCAGTCTCAGGATTCTGCAAAATTCTACAATATTTATTTACTTATTGACAGCGTCTCTAACCCAGGCTGGCCTCAAACTTCCTATGTAGCTGATGATGGGCCTTGAATTTCTAATCCTCCTATGTCCATCTCCCAAGTGCTGGGATTAAGGATGTGGGCCATGCTGGGGTTTTGTGGTGCTGGGGATCAAACCTAGGGCCTCCTCCATGCCAGGCAAGCCCTCTACCAACTGAGCTACATACCTAGCCCTGGACTATGACTTTAGATGAGCACATGCTCTACACACATATACCCATTCAGAACGGAGGCAAAGGGATAATAGAATGTTCAAGAAGTCCGTGTTCATCTGATTTCAGCTTTTTATTGAACTTCTTTTAGAAATTGTGTGTGATTTATCCTTTGATGAATATTTATTTATTTATAATTTATTATTAGACTTCTTTGAAGTCCCAAGTTTGAATTTTCTTTTTGAAAATAAATGTAGATAAAATATATAGAAGGATGCTTCTGAACCAGCTTGTGACTAAGTGGTGTTTTTAGAATCAGTAATGCATAGATCCACTTATATTCTTCCTGATGACTGCAGACAGTGTGACTTTCCACTGGGCATTAGAGGTCCCTCTGGGAGTAGGAGAGGCCACCCAGGAGCATAGTCTGTTGATGCTGGACCTAACTAGCTGTGCTAATTTGTACTCCAGATTATTGTTTTAATCTAACATTATTTTGAAGAGGAAAACAAGAAGAGAAAGTAATTTTCAGGCTTTGAGGGTAAGGATGTCTTATTCTGGGTGGGGATAAAGTGATTTCTCTTGTGCTTAGCAAGTCCTGAGATACAGCTTACAGCTATCGAAGTGTGGACACATGTACAGTAAAATCACAATTCTGTGTCCTTTTTTTTTTTTTTTTTTCCCTTGAAACAGAGTCTCATCTCTACAGCCCAGAATGGCCTGGTTCTCCCAATAATCCTGTGTGAGTTTCTTGAGTGCTGGAAGACACAATACCCCACTCATTCCCTTTTTTTCCCCTCAACATTTAAGGGAGTTACTACTGTGTAGAAAGGACAGCACTGTGAGGTAGGGAAGAGTGGAAGAGCTCAGGTGGGGGGCTTTGAGGTGGGAAGCTGGAGCCAAATCCTAATAATATGAGCGAGAATTGAAGAGTATGGAAAAATCTGCAAGGACCTTCTAAACCTTATTTTCTCCTCTCATAGTTTTATAAAGTAAGCAGTGTTTAATGAAGTTACAAAGACTCTGATTTTCCTTGCCTAGTTGTAGAGGAAAAGGAAAAGCAGCATAGAAAATTGTCCTGGGAGTAATCTAGTGATGATTGCCGGAGATCAGAAAAAGGACTCTTCAAAAAGAATTGGATTGCAGAGAAAAGTTTCACCTCAGATTTTATGGTGAATTGGACTCTGAGGCAAATTCTAGAATACACCTTCCTTTATCAAGGTCCTTGGATTATAGAGTTGAAGAAGGGAGAAAAATGATTGCTTTGGAATGTTCAGCTGGTGATCAAATCAGCAGGGAGGAAATGTAAGCCCAAATAGGAAGTGATAATTTGGGAGAGAGAAATAAAAGTAAAGTCAGTGAGCCAGTAGATGAAGGGCGAGCACAGCATGTGATCTCTTTAAATAGTATTCAGATATTTTAGATGAGTACTGGACATTGGAACATGTGGAATTAGTTGGATTTTTGTATGAGAGAACTTATGAAGGATGTTTTCTGGGGTTTTTAGCATCTGCTTTTCCCTTGTATAATGATTGCAATAAAAAGTAACTTATGACTATGAGAATGAAAATACTATATTAAAGTGAAACTGTATCAGTGTGAGAGATGTTTATTGATAGATTAGTGGAACTAAATGCTAAGATTTAAAGAAGTGTCTAGAGGGAGACTTGAAAGGTTCATAGCATGGGCCTACACCTGAGAATTGGAGTGGGATTTTTGACTAATTGACTAATTGGACCTATTAGGGCAGCCAGAGGAAAAAAGTATCCAGACCAACAGATGATTTGGAGTTGGAATAAGATATTAAAAGAGAGTTCATGAGAACAAAAAAGAACAGCTCTAAGTGGATTATGTATACATTATTTAAGTTTGGTAAATGAAATCACAAGATAGCTGATTCTTAGTTCACTGCTCCAAAATCTTGCATAATATGATTTCATTCATCTCTGAATTTTTATTGAATGATGACTTTGGCTAATGGTTTTTATGCCACCAACATTTATTCAGCTTGTACTAGTTTGCAGGCAAAATTATAAAATACAAAATAAAAATATAGTGTATTTGAGTAAGGATGGGAAAGCTATGTAAACAATCGCAATTAAGGAATTTTGTGCTGTAAGAGAGATAAATAGCACTTGAATCCATAGAGAAGGATCAGAAAAGACCCTAAAGAGGATATGAAGGAGGCTTGAATGATGGTGGGCATTTGACAAGCAGACAAAGGTTGAGGGGAGTGGGAACCTTTGGGGGAAAGGCATTTCATGTAGAGAGCACAGATCAAAAATGGGAAGAAACACAAAGCTGGACTGTGTCATAATCAGTTACAACTGGAATGCAGTGAACACTGAGGAGCTTAATGGACAATGAATCTGAGAGGCACAGGCACCTGATCATAAAGTGTATTATGTCATGCTTGGTAGCTGGTCTTCATCTGATAGGTGATGGGAGCAAGAAACAGATTTAAAAAAGATGAATAATATAATATGATTAATTTTGGCAGTAATATGGAGGCCAAGATGAGAGGAGTGGGGAATAGAAAGAGGTCACCTGCTCCAAGGTGACTGTAATGGTCCAGGTAAAGGAAGGCACAACCTCAGCCAACAGGTAGCGATGAAGATGGAAAAGAGAGCATGGTGTTAGAAGATTGATAGTAGATGCAGAGACTGAGAGAATGAGAGGTTCCTGGCCTGATTAGGGAAAGGTGCCTCTGATGCCAGGAGAAAGAGTGTGAGGATGATGGATAAGGAGTTTTGTCTTCAGAAAGACTGACTTCCATAGAGTTGCTTAGTTGGCTCAAGATTATGGCTAGGCTGGGAGATTTGAGAATCACTTGGATGAAAGACATGGTTGGAAGGACAGGACTTGAGTTTTACCAAAACTAAAGGGAGCAGAAATGTTCACAAAGGAGATAGAAGATGATGACAAGTCTTGGGGAAGGGTGACTTACAGGAGTTTGAGGAAAAGGAGAAAAGCTTTTAAGATGTTTAAAAAATGTTTTATTTTTATATGAGTGTTTTACATGCATGTATATAACTGCACCCATGTGTACAGTGCTCACAGAGGTTAGGACATTGGATCCTCTGGCGTTACAGACAGATGTTAGTTGCCATGTGGGTGCTGGGAACTGAAGCCTGGTTCTCTGGAAGAGTAGTCAGTGCTCTTAACTGCTGAAACCATCTCTCCAGCCCCAAGAAAAGCTTTTGAAGAAGAAAGTGTGTGTGTGTGTGTGTGTGTGTGTGTGTGTGTGTGTGTGTGTGTGTATGGAGCCACACACAGAAGAAGAGGACAAAAAAGAGGACACTTTTTGAGTGTTTGTTTTGTGTGCGCACGGGCCGAGAGTGTCTCTATGTGTGTGAGGGG